GTTTATGAAAATAAAAATAAAAAGCCTTACATACTATATGAAAATGACTGTTTACAGGTCTGTGCCAGAAATAGGAATCGGAAAGCATGTTAACATAATTAAACACCAGCCTACATTACATATTTAAATCAAAATATAACCTGCATAATAAGTTTTACTCCAATTTCAAAATGCAAGGCCAGTCTTACATAATGTGAATTGTATTTTAGGTTTATCTGCATTTGTTGTACAATAACAATAATTTTTAATTGTTCACAAAAAATTTCACCTGCATTTGTGATGACTTTTGATGAATAACTGATGTCAAATAAATAGTCCACTTGCCTATTGGTGTGCAACTGTTTTTGGACTATACACCTTACATTGGTTTTACATTTATATATTTTTAAATGTGTTGGCACACATTTAAATTGGTGTGCTTAATATTTTAACAATACTTTTATTCTAATTACTGAGCTATGAGCTTCCTTTGATGTGCAGGTCCGTGTGAATTTATGAGCCTGAATGTAAATGAGTAGATGGATTATAATATGTTTTGTACAGTTGCTGGGTACATGTTTTAAGCTTTTATTTAAGATTTCTTAAATAAAAGAGTGACATCTTTTTTTTTAGAGAGAGAAGGAAAGGTTTTAGCTTCTCAGTTCTCATATTTAGTAGATGGACTCAGAAAACAGAAGAAAACACACTGAAAGTTGGCAGCTGGAGTTGTTGCAAATAAAACCCACAGGATACTGAACCTTGACCCCGACCTCAAAAGACCATAAACAACATTGATGGCACAATACTGTTTGCACATTAAACTTACAAAAACATGAGGAGAAACACTGGAGAAAGTACAAGGATTTGCCACAGCAGAGTTTAATACAGAAGTTTTCCCCAAAATAGCTTAAAGAAAGAGAAATTGATACAGATTTAAAATAAGACATTATGAACATGCATATATAATACTGAGCTGCTCATCACTCATAGCTACCTCACTGTCATGAGACTTTTTGGACATCAGAGACAGGCCAGCATGACATCAGAGCAAGTTGGATGTCCATTGGGACACATTTCTAACGGACATGCATCTTGTGGTTATCACCGATGATTTGGGTTGGGTACCGTTTGGGTTTTTTACGATACAAGTGCCAAATCGATACTTTTTTATTTTTTATTTTACTGTAACTGAGTAAAAAGAAGATAACCGTTTTGAATGATAAAACAAAGACAATAAACACTCGACTGCGACAATCAGTGCCGGCCCATCCAACAGGCAGTACAAGCAGTCACCTAGGGCCCCGGTTGTGGCTAGAAGGGATACAGCTGCTGCAGAAAAGTAACAAATTAAATTTGCTACCAATTAGATTGTGTTTTATTAATGTCTACACCTCCAATCCTATACCTACCCCACACAATAATACAAATACAGTAATTATTGTTGTTCAACGTGACAAAAATTACGCAATATTGATGTGCGCATGCCCGGTAGCCGCAACTAGGTCCCATCTAGCTTTAATAGAGGGCCCGCGACCGCAAGTTTGTCGATTTACTTTCAAGGGCTGTATCCGAAATCCTGTACCCTTAAATAGGTATAAAATAAAAATTTTTATTGGTGTCTGAAACCATAGCGGACATTATGGATTGCACTCATTCAATCCCAATGCACCGTAAAAACGATCGTGCAACCGATGTACACTGAACGGCGAGAGAATACCCATAAAGTGTCACGTGCCGAATGAATTCCCGCGTCTCACCAGAAGATGACGTCCGCAGCTGAACCATCCATCCATTCATTCATTTTACAAAACGCTCATCCACAGCGTAATGCAGCGTAATACAAAACATATAAAAATTTATTGCAAATTGATTATTAAATTGTTTAAAATTAGGGTTTATTCATAATTTCCATGACAGAGTTCAAGATAAATCATCCTACTGGAGCTGCCAGTTTGCCAGTTTCAAATGATTATTAATCTACAAGCACAAACTATGCAAAAGCTGCAGTCCTTCCGCTGCACTCAGTGTCCGCATTCACTCACTCGTTTTCATTAAGTCCTTCAAGTTAACTGAATAAGTGACCTAATGTAGGCAATATTGAATGAGGGTATAGGGGGAGATTTCGGATACAGATTAGGTGTGTTTGGCTTGAAAAAGCGCTGCAGAGACAGATGTATGACATCAAAGTACCATGAGAGCTATAGAGAGCAGACAGCTCTGTATGCTTTTGAATTGCTCTAGCAGTACTTCGATGTTATACACTGATCGATCTGCGCAGTGCCGCTTCAAGCCGAACACACCTTCTTGACTATGTATCTACGAATGATGCACCAGGGCTGTACAGTGTGGTATGTCTGTCGAACTTACAAAAAAATTGGTCTGTGCGATCAATAAATTTACCACAGTAGCACGCATGCATGGGTTTTGCATAGGTTTGAGCCTGTTTACAAACCTGTTGTAAAACAAAGAGAACATTCAATGACGTTTTGGCTCCAAATTAATTTCCAACATCAGTAGAGTGTTTGAAATAACTTCCTTTTGCGATCTGACGTGGTTTCACATTACAGAATGAGGCAAAATCATTATTTTATATAGTATTCTATACAATGATAAAGGCTATGTTGATTAGCATTGCATTATAAATATAGTTTATTCATATAAAAATACCAGAAATGGCTTGAAGAACAGAGATAAACTATTTTGTCACAATAAAATGTTTATTGTCTTCATGTTTCATCAATTGAAACGTCTTCATCTGCATTTTATTCAGCTACACCATAGTCTTTGTCTTTGTCCATATTAGGGATTTCCTGGAACATCATATGATTTATGACTTATATGAGTTTCACTTATGGATTCACACTATGAGGGTGCCCTCAGGCTACCAGTTTTTCTCCAGTGTAGAGAGTTTATTTTTTCTTTATATCAATGAATGCATAAGACTTCCTGATAAAATTATATAAATTACTGTCAAAGATTTTTTTTATTTCATAATAAATCTTTAGACCTTTCTAAACATTATAGTTATAGGCCTCCTACATGTTAACAGGTCATGTTGCAGTTTTCTGTAAAATATATTGATAATCATTATCAATAATTATTATTTTGTTTAATGTTTTCATTTATTAATAACAATAATATGAATTATTAGTAATCATATTGATATATAAAAACAAATTGTGCAGCCCTACAAAAAGGCACAACAAACTCAGTGTTCTTTATAATTTTTTAAAGAAAAGGTTTGTCTGAAAACCTTTGCTGTTACAGTTCAGATTTTGTGTGCAGAATTTGTTGGTTCAGATTTTGTAATTCACATGATATTGCCTCCCAGAATAGTCTCTCGTAACGCCATGAAGTCTCGTTACACATCAATGCTATTTTTAATTAATTTGAAATTAAAGAATGATGGAGAGATCAAAATGAAGTAGTATAAATGAAATTTTTCCGGAGCCTAAAAAAATTGATGTTTTCACTGCTATATAAATAAAATATTTATTGCTGTAGTATTAATACTTGTTTTAATAAATGCGATGATGCCCATGATCACAGACGGATTTGTCATATGAGGGAAAATAGAGCCACATTTAGCATGTTACGTTAAATAATTGCAGACTCTGATCCAATGTCTAATGCAATGAAGTCTTTTTGTGATCATCAATCAGGCCTTAAAAACAAGCAGAATAGCCTGCATTTCTTGTCGTTTATGCATATTTGTATGTATATTTTGTTTATGCTCTGTTTATTTTATTTAGTTTTTGTATACTTCATTTACATTTTATTTATTTGTGTTTCATGTATAGGCCTATCTATTTACTCAAGCTCACTTGCGTTCTAGTTAAAAAAAAAAATCAGTTTAAATATTTTTACACATGTACTGTATGTTGAATGTGCTACACTTAATACACACTTGCGCTTAAATATTGAAATTGTCATTTTATGTGCTTTCTCTTCACTCGTCAAATTGCTATGACAATTTTTACACTAGTGGGGCCCATTTCCATTACCTTGCCTAGGACCCCACAACCCTACGGGCCGGCACTGGCGACAATGTATAGTTTATCTGTGTTATTCAAACCATCATGGTATTTTCATAATAATTAAGTATATTTATAATCCATTGCTAATCGACATAGCCTTTTTTTACAGTATATAACATATTTTCTGCCTCATTTCGTGACAAGAAGCCACATCAGATCACAAAAGGATGCATTTGACTGGTGTTGTGGAATAAAAACATTATAATGTTCTCTTTTGTTGGACAACAGGTTTAGAAACGCTTCCCATTGCAAATCATTACAAAGGAAGTTTAGCTTTAGGCATTTAAATTTTTATCGTGTTTAATGTAGCTAGTTAACAGACTACCTGTTGTCATCAGAGCAAGTGTAATTGCTGCATTGCTCCTAGGATGCTCTCATTTCCTGAGGTGTGCTTTTAAGTCGAAATGTGAAAAGAACATGGATTCCAACGTTACTACAAAGATATTGGATTTCTATTATCAGAGCTTTCCGACTGTGTTCACATTAATTGTCGGGAAACTGACACTACTAATTCATGACACTACATGAATGCAGTATAATTTAACTAGTGATCTCGTGTGGTGATGATCCTTTATACTGTACGTCCGTTTTGGAGCACCAGAGAGCAAATATTTCAATCGGCAGATCGGGTATTTAAGTGGCACTAGCATCTGCGCTCTGATTAGGTCCGGTACACCAGATTTCAGTACCTGACCCAGCCGATGATCATCTCAAATAAGTCCTTTTCCATCTTCCAAGCTAGCTTGCTGCAATGGTAATGTCACATGCACACGTGAGTCCTTCTGATTATGAAAATAAATATATGCATGATTGGATTACAGGATTTCAAATCAGTAGGAGTTGAGGCAACAAAAATAATGTTGTAACAAGCTAATTTTATGGATAGTAAATGTAATATTATTACTGAAGTCTTAGTATCTTAGTAATATAAGTAATATTATTAATGTTACTAGTAACACATTACTGCCCAACACTGATGATCAGGCCAAGCATTACAGCATGTTACCTTTTACTCTTCACTTTATTCTCCTCTTCACAGAAATAATGGAGCATCTACACACTTCTCTCATTTTACTCCCCCTCTTCTGTTCATTGAGTGCTGGAAAATCTTTCTTTACTCATCTCGGAACACGGTGTATAGATGACTGCAAGTCCGACTCGGGCGTGTTCAAATGCAAGACTTTTGATAAAGATGGAACATGCCAGGAAATGTACTGTTCACCTCAGGAAAACATGGACTACTGGGGTAGACAGTGTGAAGCTGACAGTATGTGTGGAAGGCATGGACAAGACTACTACTGGTGCAAAATTAATATCTTTACTTGGGGATACTGTGGGCTGGTGATGGAGAACAAGAACCATTATGGATCTCATACAGGTGCGCTGTGTTATGACTACTGTGACAAAAGAGAAGAAGACTACTATTGGTGCCATACTGTGCAGGGATGGGATTACTGCTCACCATTTGAAAACACAGATAACAAGAATAGTCAGTGTAAAGATGACAATCCATGTGGGAAGCAGGGTCAGGACTACAGCTGGTGCTGGCTGAAGAAGGGAGGCTGGGATTACTGTGGACTTGTGGAACCAAAGATATCCATCTACCGGTCTATGTATCATTATGTTTGCATTGATGAATGCCAGTATTATGAGAGTGGAGATTACTATTGGTGCCACACTGCCAAAGACTGGGACTACTGCTCTCCAGATGTGGATGTAACCTATAAAGGCAAGCCCTGTCGCTCATACCACTCCTGTGGCCCACATGATTATAATTACAACTGGTGCTGGACCTCAGAGTCAGAATATGATTACTGTGGGCCCGTTGAATCTGGAGAATGCACTTACATCACCTCTAGACATCGCAACAGGAGAGCCCCAGATGACAAAGTAGTGATATGCACAAAGATGGACAAAGGAAACAAGAAAATAACCACCTTTACTGCGAAGCCAGCTCCTAATGCTATCGCTGATGGCAGTCAGTGGAGAAACGAGGCAGAAAACTTAATCAGTCGCTGGGAAAATAACTACCTGGTGGACCAGGCCCGCTCAAACCTGATCCACTCTGATAATCTCCGTATTGACATGCAGGGAATCATCAACCACAACAATCAGCTGTACCACAACCTGCAGATCCAGGTGAACGTCAGACGGAGGTCCGGTCAAAGCACAACCGTATCTCAGATTATCGTGCCCCGTGGAATTCCACGCCGCTACATCCGCAGAGCCTTGCTGGAGAGCTTTAGGCGCCGAGCTCGGGTTCTTATTGAGGTTTCAACCCTAAATCAGTGTTAGAGCCTTGGGTTGGAAATGTGCAAATATGGTGGTATATGGTGGAGTACAGTTGTAACTTTTTTAGCTTTTTGCTGTACAACACAAATACTGAGCAGAATAAACAGGCCATGAGAAATATCTTTATCTGTAGAACTTGAAATCAGAAGTAGTTTACTATCTGTTGACATACCTATTGGTAGATTTTGGAAAAGACACTGGAAAGCCAGTTTTTTATATCTATCTCAAATATTGCTCAATTAAGCAGCCTGCCTATCGGGTTATCAATAATGAGTTAATCAAATCATCAGACTGTTAAGTGAAATATATGGACATATGCTTTTTTGGGTTTCCTGACCTTGATTTGAGAAACCTTATGACATGAACAATCAAAATATCTATTTATCTATATCTATGTATAATATGTCTGCCTATCTGGCTTTAAAATTCCTGCATTTAGTTTTCATGTTTGCTAATCCAAGAATTGTTACTGAATAAAATCTATGCTGTCATACTTTTGAACATGTGTTGCTTCAGAGTATTACATCTGTCTCACAGAGAGCATCTTGCATATTTGCCTGATTTTTTGAGTGGCACTGAATCATAGCATTGATTTAATAAAACAAATACATGCACTACATGTTTCAGAGTGAAGTGCAGCACTGTGTTGATTTACACGTAAGCAGCTCATTATCTGCTGGTGTTTGCAACATCTCAGAGCAGCTCAGTTTACAGTAAGCACTGCATTTGAGAATGCAGCATGTGACACCCATTTCACCAAATTTTGCTATGAAACAACAATTTCCAGCACAAAAGCTCAAACTGCACATAGTGTGACCCATTAAATATAACTATAAAAAAATAATAATAGTGATAATATTATTGCACTTTTTTTTTTTTTTTTATAAAATAAACAAAATAATAAAGTGTGATAATACTATTGTGTATTAAAATAAAAGGGAGTATTAAATACAAATACAATTATTTTATAGTAAACTTAAAAATAAAATGCTAATATTTACTCATATATAGATATATATATAATAAGTTTAATTTATATAGCGCCTTTCCCAAGCTCAAGGATGCTGCACAATGACAAAAGCAGATAAACACTCATGTCCTACATACATGGACAAGACATTTTCCAAGTCCAGAACATGTGGTTGCAGTTGCATACCACAGTAATAATACAGTATCATAATCACACACAAAAAAACAACAACATTATAACAGGTAATATTGGTAGAACATATAAGTTTTAAGTTTAGACTTAAATTCGTGGAGTGTGGTTATTGTCCGGAGAGCCAGGGGCAATGTGTTCCAAAGTCTGGGAGCCATAACAGAGAAAGATCTACCTCCCATAGAAAATAGGCGAAATCTCGGAACACAAAGAAGTTCATCTCCAGATGATCGAAGTGGACGAGAGGGAATATATGGAGAAAGCAGGTCAGAGAGATAGGTAGGTGCAAGACCATGGATTAAAGGTAAGCAGAAGAATTTTATAAACGATACGAGAGGACACAGGTAGCCAGTGGAGGTTGAATAGAATAGGAGTGATATGTGCAGACTGTTTAGTGTAAGTTAGCATTCTCGCTGCAATCGAGAGATGGAGCGTACTGGTAACCCGGAAAAAAAGAGCGTTGCAGTAATCAAGGTGGGATGGGATTAAAGCATTTACTAGTAATTCAGCATCTTTTGGACTGATGAAGGAATGGAGTTTGGTTACTAATTTATGCATCTAGATTTAGAGAAGAGTCAAGAATGATACCTAAGTTGTTAACTGTGGCAGATGGGATAATTGATGTGGCTTCGAGGTCAAATCTAGGGACATTTGTTATGTTTTTTGTTCAAATTGGGGGCCCGACAAGTAAGATATCTGTTTTAGTCAAATTCAAACTGAGAGAGTTGGAGCTAAGCCAGGTCTTTTATATATATATATATGAATTTTTTTCATTTTCAAACTTAAAGCCAGCAAGCTTTTTTTCTGGCGTGTTGCCGGCAAGTATATGTGCTGCCGTGTTTTGCGCTGTAAAAAGCGTCAGCAAAGAACGAATGAAATGTCACAGTTTTGCTTTGTGCTTTGCAAATGGCAGCAGATAGCCTAGATTTATGCTTTCAGTTCGAATATAAATCTTATATAGTATTACGGTTTGTCGATCTAAAATGTTAATTGTGCATTGTCGGTACGCAAATGAGCGGTCTGAACGTATTTACACCGCACAATTTTTACTTTGGTCGCGCATGCGTACCACTTATGTGCACCCCAGCCAATTGTAGTCTTGTTTTCTTTTGTCACAGTAGTCATAACACAGCTCACCTGTATGAGATCCATAATGGTCCATCACCAGCCCACAGTATCCCCAAGTAACGATATTAATTTTGCACCAGTAGTAGTCTTGTCCATGCCTTCCACACATACTGTCAGCTTCACACTGTCTACCCCAGTAGTCCATGTTTTCCTGAGGTGAACAGTACATTTCCTGGCATTTTCCATCTTTATCAAAAGTCTTGCATTTGAACACGCCCGAGTCGGACTTGCAGTCATCTATACACCGTGTTCCGAGATGAGTAAAGATGAAGCAACATGAGTGCTATGTTTGTCCAAATTTTTTTTATTATTTACTACTTTATTTACAATAAAATATTATTCAAAGCTTGTTCATGCTACAATGTTAACTCTAGCGTGAGCACAACATACATGCGTCATGATGCTCTTATGAGCGTGTGTGGCAGATCAATATTTTTAGAAAATAAAGTTGTAAAATTTGTTTTTTGCACAAACAAAGCTACATTTATTGTTGTCAGAAAGCCAAACCTCTCACACTTCATCAAAAATCTACCCTGCCACTGCCACCATCATGTTTGCTACTATTTATTAACTTGGTGAAATGTTTGCTGCTATAGTGCTTGTAAAGCACGGTCACAGTATACAGTTTCAGCAGCCCTTGGTGTTTAAAACGCATATCTTGATTTGTTTAACGTCTCAATAAACTTGCAGCACATATTTGCATCAATTTTCAACCGACTTTGAGTGAGAAGGGCATGCAAGCTGTCCTCCTAATACGAAGACTACGATGGTGCACTGCAGGACACCTTTCTCCTTTTAAATGTTCAAGAAAAAAAGGACTGTAATGGACATGTATGTGTTTTTTTTCCCCACGCTTTTCTCAGTGGTTGTTTCCCATGAGGTGTGAGTGTATTTTCAGCTTTGTATGACAGTTTCTTGGCCGTTTTTTCTACTTTTGTGCCCTTGTTGTGTACATGTAGTGGCATTCACACATTAGCATGCACAGGCAGGTTGTGTACGGTTCTTAATATTAAAACCCTGTTTATAAGCACTGCAAGAAAAAAAATAATTTTAAATGTTTCAAACAAATGTTGTAGTATATATATTTTTTATCTGGATCTAAAATAAAGTTAACATTATCATAACTAGAAAATTTATGTAAAAAATTTTGAACTTAAATTGAAACAGCAAATATTGTAAAGTCAAATGAACTTCAATAAAACAATTCAGCACTAGGCAAGATTTAAATTAGTGAGTTGAAATGACTTGTACTTTTAAGTTGATTTAACTTAATTTTAAGGCAGCCACAAAACTTACGTTTTTAAGTTGAAAGGGGTGAATTTTTTTTACAGTGTGCTGCAGTGATGTATACTGTAAATGCAATAAACATTTGAATCATACATCTTGTCACGTCTTATTACTTCTGGATTTTCTTTTTTTTTTTTTTCAAAATTACTTTATGAACAATCCTATTAAAGAAAATGTATAGTATGATAAATGTAAGGATATTGATCTGGAAGAAATGGGGCCATAAAGAACCTATTCATCAGTGGTTCTTTGAAGAACCTTTAAAAAGGGTTCTGTACCAGAAAAGGTGCTTTATGGCACCAAGAAAAACTCGGTTCTTTAAAGAACCTTTCACAAAATGGTTCTTCAGGGAACCAAAAATGATTCCTCTATTGCATCGCCGCAAAAAACCCTTTTTGGTTCTTCATGTCACTTTTTTTTAAGAGTGTACATACCTTGTCTAGTACTTGGAGGACTTATTTTGTTGGGATATTCCAGGAAAAGAGAGTCAGTGCAACACTTCTTGAATCACTTTCTGATCAAAGTTGTTTATGCTGGAAAAGAGGTCAGATGGCAACATCAGGACAATTTTCTTTTCCGAAAATTCGAAATAAACTTTTATTTAACTCACACATAATTTGTAGTTCCGGAAAACCTTGAATCAAACACAAAAAGGAAAATTTTGTCAAAATTGTCAAAAATAAATTAGGAAATTACTCCCAAAATGGCATTTACACTTCTCAGCAGATACAAATGTAAGATTGTTTTTCCAATTCACCTTTAAATGATGCAGTAGTCATATGGATACATATAGTGGATACTAATAGCCTGTTAATGTACATTTCATAAAATCTAAGTTTTACATGTCAAACAAAGTCTGTCTATCTGGTTTTCTAATTCCTGTATTTATTTTTCATGTTTACTTATCCAAGCTTTTTATCCAAGAAAATCTACCAAAGCTCTATAAAAAGCATTTGCTGTCATGATTTTGAGCATGTGTTCAACGAAATTAAGACTTAAATATTAGCATTGTAATTTTACAGGCATACTATCAAATAAATTGTTTTTTTTATTAAACAATCGATTTCTATCAATTATATATACATATATTTTAATCAGTGTTCGGTATTATAAGGGTCCAGTAACCGTTCCAACGAAATCTGTTTGAGTTTATGCCGTCTTAGAGAAATATCAATGGTTTCTCTGTTGTTACACTTCAACAAAGACGGTTGTTCCGCTCTGTTATTCAGTAAATGATGTACATTGTTTCATTTGTGACACTTTGCCAAGTTTAGGGCGTCACCATCAGGATGAATCATTGTCATGCTGTTGTTTTGTTCCTCACTGTGCCTCGTTCTGTGTTAGAAATTTTATTTTTTGTTAGATGTTTTTATAGTAAATGTCACAGTATCTATCTGTACTGTCCCATGCTGTTAACACATGCACAGATTTATGCAGTCTTGTGCAGGTCTGTGTCTGTGATGTCGGTGATGGTGATGGATTGATATTTGATGGCAATATAAACATCACAAAGTGGCCTGATGCACTGATCTCATCTAAAGTCGAATAACAGA